GGGGGGAGGCGAGCTGGTGCAGAGTTAGGAAGGAGAGGCGGCCGCCTGCCCGCTGCACACCTTGCACTCGGGCCTCTGCAGGAAGCTCCTGCACCCCCGCCCGGTTGGTCGGCACAAGGTAGAGGTCAGGGCGGAACAAAAGGGAAGGCCCGCGGGTGTGCAGGTTCGCACTCCCACGCCGGCGGGGGAGGGGAGGGCAGCGCAGGGCTTGACCCTGGCCGCGGGTGTGGGGCCCAGGGATCAGAAGCCCTCTCACCTTGGCAGTCCTTATATACCCAGCCAAGCATCCCAAACACGCGCCCAGCCAAGTGGCCCCCCTCGGGCTGTGCTCCCTGACCATATTTAGTCAACCAGGGGAAAAAATAGCCTGTCAGCTGGGCCGAGACCGGCCTGGCAGCCCGGAGCAGGGTGGGAGCCTCAGCGCCATTGACGGCTGTCCCTGTCCTGGGCCCAGGCGGCAGCCGGGTCTCCCTCCCGGCCCCTCCCTGAGGAGCCTCCCACCGGTCATTCCTGCCCTGCAATCCCCCCTCTATTTTTAGCCCAGCCCAGTACAGAGGAGCCTCTTCAGCAGCGGGCAGCAGCCACTAAGGCTGTGCCAGCCTCCTCCGGGTGCCCTGGGGAGACCCGGGCACTCCAGGGTGCCAGGCCAGGGAGGGGAGCTGCCTCCTTTTGTGCTGCTGAGCCCCCACTAAGCCCCCGGGCTTGCCCACAGCTCTGCCTTTTTGTGGCAATGGGCACCGCCAGTTGCCATAGCCAGGCAGACTCACGGGCCACCCCTACCTGGGCCTTACCAAGAGGGCTCGAGAGTGGGAGACCCTGAGTCCACAGTGCTGGTTAGCTTGGGAGCACCCCCAACCTGGGATGATTGAATTATTGCCAGGGCAAGGCCCAGCCTGGCCTGGACTCAAGAGTCCCGTGGCCTGGGCCGACCTGCTGTCCCCCTCAGGCTGTGTGACACCAGCAGGTCTTCTCATCCCTCTGTGGCCTCCCCCAAGACTGAAAGTGCAATGGCAGCGGGCCACAGTGACATGGGGACCTGCTTGTGGAAGGCCAGGAGCAGGCACGAGTAGGGACAGCAAGCTTGTGCTGGTTGTCAAGTGCTGTCCAGAGCGTGGGCATTGAGAAGGCTTCTCACTCCAGAAACTGCCTGCAAACCTCTTGCTCCTTCAGTCCGGAGGGTTCTCTCTGTCCTGGCCAGGCAAGCGGTCCAGCCCCTCAAAGTGTGCTCGCTGTGCAGAATCCCAGGAGACACCTGTGAGGACCCTGCATCCACTCCAGGCCACCCCCCAGTGCACAGTGGGCTGTGCCTCCAGGCTCACCCCCAGGCTCCTTGTCCCCCCAGGGGACACTGTCTGAGGCCAGGTCTGCAGGGACACGAACAGTAGAGCTGGGAAGCTCCTTGCTGGTCCCGCATGGGCTGCCCCTGGCCAAAGGAGACCACTGAGCTGTGGAAGGAGCTGGCCCAGCTGCAGACCTGGGTCTTCACCTGACTGGGCTCTGATTCACCTGTTTCGGTGGCCACATTGAAACCACTGCCTGCCGTGCTGGTCAGGAGCTGAGGAACCATGTGTGATTAATCAATTGCAGCTGGACGCCGGATGGGAGGACACCCGCAAGGACCACAGTGTGGGGCAGGGGACGCCTCGCAGGAAGGCCTGGGGATGTGGGATGCACAGGGCCCAAGTGACCTTGAGGGCAAAGCCAGCAGAGGTTCAAGGGAGAGCGCCCAGGGCCACACAGGGAGCACAGAGACCACAAAGGAGTCGAGGCCGGTGGAGTGCAAGGCAGACAGCAGGGAGGCGGTGACACAGTGACACGGGGAGGTGGTGACAGGTTGCGTGCCCAGGCCTGGGGCCTGGGCATCACGTTGTTAAGGCAGGCCGGGCCCCCCACAGCCATTCTGAGTCACTGCAGGACCCTGGCTGGGCACCAGGAGACCCAGGCTGCCTCCAAGGACAGGGCTGGGCCAGCAAGGCTGAGATTGGGCCACAGAACGGCCCTGCTCTGGCTGTAGCTTCAAAGGTTCCACAAGACTCGCTGATGAAGTAGAAGTGCTCACAAGAAAAAGAGGGGTATCCAGGGACGGGCTCTGGAGAACAAGGTGCCTCTGCAGGCCAGGAGGGGGGAGCCGGAGCTTTCTTGGGCCCATTTTGCAGGTGGGAACACTGAGGCCCAGCAAGGCATAGCCATGCCCAGCATGTACCCTGGCAGTGGCAAATGGAGTAGTCACTTCCTGCTTATCATCCTCCTGCCTCCCAGACCCCTGTCCTTTCTCCAGATTTGGAGTGAGCCCCACCTCTGGGACCAGGCCAAAGGGGAGCAGGCTTGGAATCAGTAAGGGAAGTGAGAGGAGAGGAGCCCCTGTCCCAGAGGTGAGGAGGACGCCCTGACCTGGGTGTCAGCTTTCTGGGCAGCCAGATGGGGCTGGCTCCTGGAGAGGGCCTCTGGACTGTGGAGAAGTGGGGCGTGTCCCGGGGCCACAGGGCACCGCCCCCCCGCCCCCACAGTGGCAGGCAAGAAGGCCAGGACGCCAGCAGCTGAGCAGCTTCCTGGAAGCCAGCTTCTGTCAGGAGCGTCATGTCACTCCGGGGAGGAGGGACCCCGTCCTGGGCTCCAGTCTCACTCTGGGCCATGGCACAGTGACCTTGAGTGGCCCCTGAGCCGAGAGTGAGGACAGGTCTGCAGCACAACCCACTCGAAGTGTCTGTCGCAAATGCCACATGCAAGCTGTGTTTCTCCAGCACCCAGAAGGCACAGTCAAGGCTCTGGGTCCTGTGGAAGGAGCCCAGGTTGATGCCAGGGGCTCTGTGACCCCACGTCTGCTCACTGCCCAGGGGTGGGCAGCACATGCTGGGAGGTGGCCACCTTGCCAGGCCAGCTCTAGCCTCCCTGGGTCCCTGGATGAGAAAGGAGCCCCTGGACCCCAGCCCCATTGAGGATCAGGGACAACCTTCCAGCCCCACCTGTAAAGTGGGGCCAGGGCACTCCTCGCTGGTGAGGAGTGGCCTGGCTGTGGGTCAGCCCAAGCAGGCTCAGCCCTGGACACCCTGTCATCACAGGTCCCCTCCCGATTGGGTCCCCACATGTGACATTTTGGGTAGCTGGGGGAAGACCCTGATAGCAGCCCCTTCTCAGTCCGCTTTGGGTCTTCCTATGCCTGTTTCAGGCACTCTGACGACTGAATGTGAGTGGTGAATGAGTGACCAACTCGGCCAAAGAACTAACTGATGGGCCCACTGGCCACAGGACGAGCGGGGCCGAGGGCAGTGGTGGCGGCGGCGGGAGGCTCTGGCTGGAGCCCTGCAAATATGTGGTCAGCTTCAGGGTTTGGGTCTTATGTAGGCAGACGTGGCAGGCAGGTGCCCTTGGAGGGTCAGCACAACCAGAGGATGGGAACACCCTGCCAGAATGTCCACCCCTCCCCAGGGACACGGACAGCCACAGCGGAGCGAAGGTCCCCTATCAGCAGGCGGTGTGACAGGAGGCATCTAGAGTTTCTAGCAGCAGCCACCCCACACCTAGGAAATCCCTGGTCACCACTGTAAGGCAGAGCCCCCGGCAGCCTCTGCCCCACCCAGCACGCTGTCAGTGTTACCCCAGGCCAGTGCCAGTGTGTATTTTACACCTTGACAGGAGCCAGCCGTTGACCTTGGCCAACCTTGGCTTATGCTGCCCTCCACCGGGGAGCAGGAGGTGAGCCTGGCCCTCTCATCAGAGCCGACACCTGACATTTCTCTCCCCGGAAGCTTCCAACATCCACCTTGAAGCAAAGCGCTGAGACTAAGCCGGTGACCTCCTTGGCACTGACCTGTAGTCATGCAGGATGGGGTGGCTTTGAACACTTAGGACTCTCGAACAGGGTGGGCACTTCTCACTCCTCTCCATGGGAGCCCTGGGCTGCTGCCTGGCCACGCGTGGAGCCCTCCCCTTCATCCCCACCCCTGGACACCCCTGCCACTGAAGTCAGTGTGGGAAAGTGGGCAGTCCCCCCAAGCACCCACCGCCTGCTGAGGTATCCGCTCACAGTGGCCAAACAGCAGACACAACCTAAGCACCCCACGGAGGGTGGAAGGGCAGCGCATAGCATGTTTGTGCAGTGAAATGGCTTTGGGCCATAAAAAGAAACAAAGCAGGCTGGGGATTTAGCTCAGTGGTTCTGCCACCTGCTTTGCAAGTGCAAGGCCCCGAGTTCGATCCTCGGTACCAAAAACAAAAAAACAGCAACATGGATGCATCTTGCAAGCACAATTGTAAATGAAAAGTCAGACACAGCATACATTTCCTGAGTCCATTTATGTGAACCGTCCAGAACAGGCAGATCCGCACACAGGGGAGGGGTCAGGAAGTGAGTACTTCCAGCCTTCAGGTCTTCTTTGGGGTGACAAAAATGCTCTGGAACTAGATAGAGGTGATGGTTGTACAGCATTGCAATCGACTGAATACCACTAAATCCTGCACTTTAAAATGGTTTGTGTTTATCTTTTGTAAATTCTTCAGTGGAATAGATAAGCCAGTCACAGAGTCCGGCCCACCCCTCCCCAGTAATCCCGACCCCTGCGCTCGGGGCTGCAGGGTCCTGGGCTGCTTTCTTAGGGACTTTCCCAGGGCCACAGCACAGATTGCTAGGGGAGGGCTATGGGAGCAGCGCCTGTGTGGCAGACAGAGCAGTCTCCCCTCCCCGCGAGGACACCTGCACCCTGGTCCCTGTGGCTGCATCTCCTTACATGGCCAAAGGGCCTCTGCAGATGGAACTGAGTTACAGACCCTGGGATAGGCAATAACCCTGGACTGTGTTGCTGTGGGCTCCCTGTGGGTGAGGCAGAGAGGCGGGGGCTGCGGCACCATGAGCTTGGAAGGCGGAGGAAAGGGCACCGTGTGGAGCGGCTCTAGAGCCAGGAAGGGCAGGACAGGGACTCTCGCCTCAGCTCCAGAAGGGAGCAGCCCTGCCAACACCTTGGCAGTAGAGTTCCAGATCTGCAGAAAAATAAATGTGTGTGTTTAAGCCACCAACTATGTGGCCATTTGTTGCAGCAGCCCCAGGACACTCACACCCCTGCCGTGTCTCTCCAGCAGACAGCCGGCCCAGATCCTGCTGTCCTACACAGCCTGCAGCCCTGCGCAGCAGGCTTCAGCTGTGCTCCTGGACAGTTGCGCAGGGGAGGGTCAGACCACCCAGTGGAGGCTCCGAAGGGCTCAGCCCAGCTCCCAGGGCAGTGGGGATGGCTGCAGGAGGCCCCAGCCAGCTTCGAGCGGCTGTGCCAGTGACCAGGCCCCTCTGCTGTGGTCAGGACTTAACTTAGTCACCTTCTTCGTTGATGATACAGAATACCCGGCATCTATCACCTAAAGGACAGACTTCTTTTGACTCATAGCTTTAGAAATTTTGGTTCATGTCTGGCAGGTGCAAATGCAGCAAACAGCAGGAGGAAGGGCTGGGTGGAGGGGAACTGCTCACATCATGGTGGACAGGAAACAGGAAAGGGAGGAGGCAGGGAGGGAGACAGATCCTTCCAGTTCACACCGCCTCTTCCGGCCAGGAGCACTCACTACTCAGCTCCTGATGAGGACAGTGCCCAGCCCGATTGCCTTCCTGGAGCCTGTGTGAGCTCAGGAGGCTTTGGGGATGTTCTCAGTTACATCCCAACAGGCCCAGTGAGCAGGGGGCCTAGGCCCCATCCAGGAGCCCATGACCCCTCCTGCAAGGCCTGCCCCAGAGCCAGGGCTCTGCGCAAGCGCATGGATGGCCAGCCGCCTGCAGAGTTGCCCAGAGCCTTTATCGGGCCAGTGAGCACTGCAGGCCCCCAGCAGGAGACAAAACCTCAGCGCCACCTGGCCTCAGCTCACCACCGCCCCACCCCACTCCCCTGGCACAGGGGGCCTGTGGCCTCCCAGGTGGTGTGGCCTGGGAAGCCGAGCTGCAGGTGAAATGCCACGGGCACAGGACGGCAACCCACACACACACAGCGCCCTGGTGGCTGCCCACTGCCAGCTCTGGGTGTGCACACTCAAATGCAAGTGCACACACAGAGAGGGCAAACACACGCATTCCCATCACAGCAGTGGGAACCTCCCTGGCAGCACATAAAGGTGCATTTCACAGCCATGGTGTCAGCAGAGAGCAGTTGGTCTCCAGCTAGAGAGAGCCCGTCCAGAACTTCCGGTCACACACAGAGCCTCCAGCCGGGGCTTCTCAGCCCCACCCAGGAGCCTGGCCCACCGAGCCTCCAGGGACAAGAGGGCCCTGGTTCTGGGAGGCCTCAGTACTCAGAAGCCCCTCCCTCACCAGCTCAGGTGTGGGCATCCAGCAGGCCTCTGCGCAGAATGCAACCTGAACCCAGAAAGGCACCACCAGTCAGAGCAGGCAGTGGGGAAGCCGCCCTCCCTGTTCCTCACCAGCGCGAGTCCCTGAAACTGTGCCTCTGCTGGCCAGGAATCTGCAGAAGGGCAGGGCAGGGCGTGGGAGCACAAAAGCCAGAAAGGGGTGCTGGGCCCTTGCCCAGAGGGATCCCCACCTCCAGGAAGAAGGGAATGTCTGGTGCCAACGGCTGTGAGACCCCAGCCTTCCGCACTGGTGCGGGTGAGAAGGGCAGGACAGATGGGGACGTCCGGGGCCAACTCCTGTCCCCAGGAAGGTTCCCAGCTCCTGCAGAGACGGAGACACAGCCATCAGAGACCACTTCCTGCCCGCTCTGTAAACGCCCTACCCCCGCAAGCTCCCAGCGCCCTCTGCAAGTTCCTTACCCACCGTGGCCACTGCCACCTGGGAGCGTCGGGAAGCCTGGGCTTCTCTCCCAGCACCTTGGGGGCCCAGGGCAGCGCAGCCTGGGCCTGGGGCGGGACAGGGGCACAGGTCAGCTCAGGAGAGCTCAGGGGCCGCATCCGCTAGGCCCTTGGTGGCCCCTCATGATGTTACAGGCTGCCTGCCCGGCCCAGATCACTTCTGCGCCCCAACCCACAGCAGTATCCGAAGCCTCAGGGGAATTGTCACTAGGGACTGTGGGGGCGTCTTCACGGCTCCCCCAACTGAGGGCCCCCAGCCTCCCCACACCAGCACAGCACTCCCCCCAGGACCCCGCCACGGTGCTGTAGCTGCAGATCCCCGGCCCACGCTTCCCTCACAGGCCCCTTCTCCCACACACCTCTCACCCTGGTACCCCAAGACATCGTACCTGACACTGCCTATGGGACTCTCTACCTTGCAGGCTCCCGGAACTCCTCTTCCCTGTCTCTTCTTGAGGATGCGAACTTCCAGGAAGCCCTCCAGGACTGCAGCTCAGCTCGGCACCACTCCAGCCACACCCCAGTTCGATCCAGTGGAGGGGCCGGTGAGGGAAGGAGCCCCGAAGGCTCTCTGTACTACAGCAGGGTGTAGCAGAGGAGGGAGTGGAGGCCTGTATTCCCCCAGGAGCCCTGGGTCCTGGACGGTCCCCCGCACACAGGTGGCCAGTGTCTACTGCCGGGTCCCTGTCAGCACTGCAGACCCTGGGCAGCCAGGCCAGACCTGGTGCCGAGGGCCGAGTGCCGACATTGTCCTCTGGAAGCTGCCCGACAGCCAGGGTTTGCCACTGAGACCTGTTACTAAGGCAACAGTCCTTTCCTTGCCCCTGACACACTCACCACCCTTTTTCACTGGGGTGGGCCCTGGGAATGACCTCTGAAGCAGTGGACGGCCCTGTGGCACCCATGGGAACATTCCGGCACGCTCCAGAGAGGGGCCCTGTGTGGACTAGGAGCCCTAGAGTGCCAGGGGCAGCCAAGCCACCAGCAGCCCTTTTCACACCAGGTGGGCAGCTGTCTTCTGGCCCGTCTGAGGCCTGGCCAGGCTGCCCACCCACCGGCCTCTGCCTTTTCTCAAACCTCCCACTGAGGCCGGCGGTGGTGCTCGGCCCAGGGGCCCCTCACAGTCAAGCACACTCCTCAGCGCTCCTGCAGACCAGCCTCCAAGCCCCAAGCCTGCTCCCCGAGGTGCCCGTCAGCCTGAGAAGGGACCAGGCAGGGGTCCCAAGGGAGGCTGAGAAGGCCAGGCGTGGGGATGAGGGGAGGCCTGGGGCGGATCGCAGGTACCGGCCTGCCTAGTGGGGGCCCTTCCCGTGACCCAGCGCTCCAGTCCCACTGCCATCTCCACCTACCTTCCTCTTCCTCTTCCCCGGCACAGCTCCCTTCTGACCCGGAAAGGAGCCTGGTGGTGAAGACACGAGACACACAACAGATGGAGCCTGAGACCTTTAACTCCAAACCCACTCGGCCCATAAATGTTGCTCCTGGACCAGGGGCAGAGGCCAGGGCAGGGAGTGGGGAGGACAGTATTTCCATCCAGGTGAGCAGTGACTCGCTAGGCCTGACTCCGAGAAGCTGTGTGGAGGATATCCCTGGGACGTGACTCCTGTTTCAGGTGCCTGGAGGAGTCGCCCCGCTGCGCCACGCCTGTCCACCTCTGGGCACTCCAGGCTCACAGTTGGAGGGCCTGTTCCGTGTCCTCTCCTCTCTCCCCTTTCCCCCTGACGAGGACGGGCAGCAGAGGGGCCCTGGGCTGTCCTGCTCCAGCGCCCTCAGTGGACCTCCCCTGGGCCCTGCCTTCCAGTCTCACACCACGCCAGTATGGGCTGCACATGCTGAAACCTCAGCTTCTCACTCTGCCCTTGGCCTTCGCCTTCCCGTCCCCCGACAGGGCCTGATCCTCAGGACCCCCTGGGCCCCTGACTATTGTGTCCACAGCCAGTTTGTGTTGGGGACTCCTCGTGGGTCTCCCACCAGGGGTCCAGGGCCTGCGCTCTCGTGGGCGGCTCAACCTCCTGACGGCGTCCTCTGGAAGCCAGGCATGTTGGTCCAACAGACTCAGCCACAATTAGCCCATTCCTTGTCCCTGCCCTATAAATATTCATTCTTTGTGATAAAGGTGCTTTTTAAAAAACGCAAAGCTCATTTGGAGAAGGAACTGAACTGCTGCCAAACATGGCTGCCAGGCTGAGCCCCACTGTGGATGGAGAAAAGCCATCACCAAGCTGCCTTTCTCAGGGGCCCACTCGGGCACTCTCTGGGGTTTTGTTTAATTTGGGATGGGTTTTGGCTCTTACACTCAGCATTCATAAATGTCACAGCACTCTTGGGTTATGAGTAGGATCCGCATGCTCCCCCGGGGTGCTGAGCCCCAAAGTCCTGGGCAGGCCATGACCCCTGCCTGCAGGGACACTTCGCATGGCCATCCTCACAGTGTGCTGACTGCAGCCCCCACTCACACCCAAAGGGGCTTGGGCTGATTGTCCTAAGTTGTCCAGAAGCCGGGTCTCGATCCCCACACCCAGGAGCCCCAGTAAACATAAAGATGAGGTCCCCAGAGGTCTGTGGATCTGGGTCTGAGGTAGAGGCGACCTTCTCCTCTGCCTGTGGATGGGTGGCGATGTTCAGGACCTGCTGTGATAGCCGCAGGTGCGCTGTCAGGAGAGTGTGCGATACCAGCCCCTGGTGCGGAGAGGCCCTGTGCTAGTGGCTCCTGAGCAGGCATTCACTTAGCTGCCACCAAGTCCCAGAAACAAGCCCCATGCCCAGTGGTGCTCTGACGCACTGGCCAGAGGAGCAGCCACTCTGCAGACACACCCCCGTGGCAGGGTCACAGTGGAGATCTCTGCAGGGTACAAGAGGGTGGCTCTGACTTGACTATAGGCTGGTTCTGATGCACCGACTCGGGCTCTGTCTCCTTCCTAGTGGCTGCTCTGTCCTCAATCCTGGCTCCACTGGACCTGTCCACCAAAGGCCAATCGAGAGACCCCGTCCGTGTCCGTCTCTATACTGGGGCACAGCGTGGTGTGTTCTGCTCATAATGGAGCATCATTGGCAATGACATTGTGAAGTCCTGGTTTCACCACAGATTTTGCTGACAACCACCCCAGAGTCACAGGAGATAGGATGTCTGTGGCACTGACTTCCTGCCCTAGGACTTCCAAGTACTGTAACCAACTGGTCCCAGGTGCACACAGTGGCGTGGGTGGGGGTTGGTCTGATGCTGTTTCTTTGGAAGAGATTCTGAGATAATGGCCACAAAGTCGCTTGACAGATTTAATCTTGTGCCATGCTCTGAGGTAGAGGACTTTCTAGCATGCATGAGGCCCTGGATTCAACCCCTAGTATCAAAAAAAGAAAAGAAAACAAAACAAAAGGAGCTGCCATTTTGACCTGGCTCACCACAATTCTAGAAAACCTTCTCTAACCCTCCTCCTCTGCCGCTTACACCACTTAGACCAGCAGGATGGCGTCCCCAGGGCAGCCTCCTGGTGTAACATCCCAGCTGGCCTTAGCCCAGAAGCTCTGGCTCTGTGGTAGGCATGGTGCTGCTTCCCGGGACTCAGCTCTGCTCCTAGCAGGGAGCTCAGGTCTGCAGCTGTGCAGGAGACAAGTCTGCTGTGGCTCCTGCTCGTGATCCGATCCCCCATGATCTGCAGTGGACCCCAGCATCCCACACACTGGCCTCACAGAGCCTCACCTATTCCAAGGTCCCACCTGTCCCTTGGAAGAGGACCTGTAACATCTTGGAATGTCACCCAAAACAGCAGACTTGCTAAGGCAGCTCTGTGGGGACACAATTCTGCTGAGGGGAATGGGAACCAAAACTGGCTTCCCTTCGGCATGTGGCTGTGGCTTGTCCTCCTTTCCGCTCCCCTGAGAGCACCGTTTCCCTCTGCCCTACTAGGAGTCAGTCATGTGAAGAAAGAAGTTCTAATCTGAGAGCTGGCCACATTCTGGGGTCCCCAGAACAATGTTCCTCTTCCCAGGTCCACTACCATGGCGAATCACCTTACCCAGGAGGGCACTATCCAACTTAACAAGTGCAGAAATCCTGATGAATGGTTTTGCCTGCCAGGAAACTCCAGGAGGAAGTCAGTGTGGATGGTTCTCAAAACCTTGGAGGGACTCCTTGAATTTGTTACATGTCCTGATAAACTATTGAATCAGAGTCCCAGAGTATCTTCACAGAGACAGCGGGCCAATGACGGTAACTGTAGCTTTATGCTGGGACTTACATGCCGAGGCTTGAGGATCCCTCCTGGAAACTCTCTGCCCAGAGTTTGGGCTGGGACCGCCAGGACCACACCGGAGAGGCTCTACAGGAAAACCCCAGCCGTGAGGTGGGGACTTTGCATCCACCGAGGTCCAGAGGTCAGGGCATTCTGTGGGCCACCTCACCTGGGGGACAAGGGGCTCAGTTTCTCAGCTTCCTTTAGAAGCCCTAAATCCCTGCCCCTGGGACCCCGAATCCCTGGAGTCATGGCCCCTTCGGTCACTGCTTGATCAGAGTGCTTTGCCCTGTGTTCATCAGAAAGATGTTAGGAAGGGGCTACCATCTAGTGGGAGACCCTGGCTGTGCTGTGAACCCCCACAGGGCCTTCAGGGTTTCCAGCCCACAGTCCACAGAGAAGGGACTCTCTGTTCTATAACCACAAGGAGCTGAATTCGGCAACAACCCGAGAACTAGACCTCAGGGAGCCCTGAGCCCTGGTCAGCACCTTGATCTTAGCTCCATGGGCCCTGAGCTGAGTGCCCAGCACCTCAGGCTGGCCTTCTGACCATGGAGATTAAGACAATGACCAGTGTTGTTTTGTGGTAGTTTGTTGGGGTGCAGCTGGTTTCCATGTCCTTCACCTACTCGATCTCTGTGTCTGTGCACCGGACACAGATTCCATGCCTCCAGGGTTGGGCAGGCCTGAGGTGGTCCCTGGGGAGGGAGGCAGATGGCCACACCCTGGGCTGCTGGCCTTTGCATGGTCACTGCAGTCTGCTAGAGAGGTTCCACCCAGAGACCTCCCGTGGCCTGCCTCCTCTGAGGACCTCAGGTCCTACAGCCCCAGCTCCCTGGCACTCAGGAATCATGAACCCTGGCTCTTGCTGGGCAGTAGACTGGGCCTGTTCTGCACCCTCCTAAGAGAGCAGACTGGGAGTCACACTCCAGGCTCAGCCCCTCACCACTCTGGCTCCTCCAAGGTCCCAGGTCCTCTGTCCTCTTGCACCCCTCTCTCCTGCTTCCCTCCCAGGATGACACCCCAGCTCCTCTGCCGTAACCACACCCAGATTTCGGGAGGAAGGTTGTCAGTGGACCAGTGGAGGCACAGGTAATGGCTGGTGTGGGCAGCATTCCCGGGGCATCCCAGGGTGGACGAGACACCGATGAGGCCAGGGGGCACTGCAGAGGGAGGCCTGGAGAATGGGGCATCATGCAGGGTCCGCATAGTGCAGCACCAGGACTCACTGCAGCCCCACCCATGGGCTGCTGCTTGCAAGGAGCCTCCTGAGGTCCCGAGTGACCTTCCCCAGGGCTGCATTCCCCGGGAGTTCTGCATTCACAGTTATGAGCTGTTTTATTGCCCAGTCAGTAAGAACCTTCTGATTATGTCATTGCAGAGGATGTCGGATGCCAAACACTAGACGTTTCCTTCCGTCCACCACGGACCCTCCACCTCCATGCGGGCTTCTGGCTGTGCCCTCCCTGCGCTCTCTTTAATTAGCCGGACCTTGGGGTGCTCCTGGACTGCACCCTGGGGTTCAGAGCCCCGGCCAGAGGGCTCATTTCTCAAGGCCAGGAAATGACAGGCTGTGGACAGGCAATGGGGCTCGGGCCAGAGCCTGGGGACTGCACGCGGACTCTGCCCCTCAGGAGGCAGAAGCTGGGCCACAGCCCTGGGCCAGGGCCTTCCTACTGGAGCAGGCTCTCCCCAGGAACCAGGGGCCCCAGAAGCAGTATTGCCTCTTTGTGCCCTTACAGAAACCTGGCTGAGGGGAGAGGCGCCCACCATCATTTATAGAAGAGAATTTGCTGAAGCCACATGCAGTGTCACACACTCCGCCAGACGCTGGGACAAAGCTTGAGCGGAACACAAGGATCAGGGTCAGGAGGCCAGTGGAAGATGCTGGCCCTCCTCTGAGAATTGGGGGTCACAGTGCCCTGCCTTTGGGGAGGGGAAACAAGTGGCAGCTCAGACACAGCCCTGGCCCCTACTGGAGCCCAGCTCAGAATGAGCAACTGAGCCAAATAGGGTGGGAGCCATCCAAAGTGTGGGCAGTGGATTAAGGAGAGGGGCCAAGGGGCTTCCTGGAAGAGGGCACCCACCTCTCCTGAGGGTACCTTCCTGTGGCAAGCAGGCAGGCCCCCCCAGCCTTCTCCCTAGTCTGGGGGTCCCGCGACTCAGCCGCCTGGGACACTTGTCAGTCCGGGTGGTTGAGAGGAGATGGCCTTGGCGCCAGGCCAGGACACTTCGGGAGGTTGACATCAGCACAGACTCACACTGCTGGCCCCTGTCGGGCAGACCCAAGAATAGCCTTTTCACGGAGTTGAGCCATCTACGCAGCCAGGTGGGGCTGGGGAGCTTTGGGGGCTGTGCTGTGCTGGTGCCCAGCCTTCTGTCCCCTCACCCCCTGCAGCTCCTCCTAGGAGAGAAGGGGGTCCCACCCACTCTGCACCCACCATGAGGCTCCAGGTGACGAGGGCAATGCCTGAGGACAGACAGTGGTAACTGGACCCTCTCAGACCCGCAGGGACCCTCCTCGCCTTCTCACTGGGCTCCCTCCACGGCCTGACTGAGCTTGCTCCACTCCCAGGTGAGACCCAGCTAGCCCCAGGATGGGCCCACTGGCATGGAGCAGGCGCCAGGCCAACCGTGAAGCCCAGGATGGGGGCCGGCAGAGTGACCAGCCCCCCCGACACGCCTCCTGCCCACCTTCCCCAGCCCCGGCCCAGACCCCCTCAGGCAAAGACGGGACAGCTGGGAGAGTGGGGGTCCGTGATGAGACACAGGGGTCACCAAAGTGCCAGCCACTCCCCCTAGGAGGCCCCTGCCCCTACCTAGCCAGCAACTACTTCCGGTGATTTCTGGTTAAGAACTTGTGGTTCTGACTTAAGAGATGACTCTTCCCCCCTCACCCCCGGGGCAGGTGGCTCATTGGCACCTCCACACTGAGTACAAGACTCAGCTAGGGGCAGTGCGCCCTCAGCCCCAACTCCAGCTCCGTCTCCTCCTCATCAGGCTTTTTAATTAGCATACCAGGAAATATGTCAGAGTTTGTAACCCTTAAAAAACATGGTGCTGAGCAGGTGTGGTGCACAGCTGTAATCCCACCATCTGATGGGCTGAGGCAGGCAGATGAAAGCCAACCTGTGCTACAGAGTGAGATCCTGTCTCAGAAAAAAGAGTCCCCTGTGCCCTGATGACCAAACTGAGTGACTGGGCTCAGTGGGTACTGCAGGCTTGGCAAGGTACCTCAACTCTCTGCCAAGTGATGCCGATTGAAGGCTGAAGCCACTGGCCCTGAAGCTCAGATAGTGGTGGCCCTGGAAGGGCAGAAGTTGCTGTGGATGGTGACCACCCTCCCCACTCGGACAGCCGCTGGGAAATGGGACCGCGGTGCCGGGGGAAGCATCCTGCCTGTAGCAGCTCAGGTCCAGCTCGCCACCCAGGGACCCTTCAGCTTAGGGGTGGGGAGTGGCTTCCTGGGGAGGGGTCCCCTTTTCTACTAGGAGCATCCCTGAGGCAAGAGGGCACCCTTGCAGAGCTACCTACAGCCTGTGAGCAGGAGGCCTGGCTGGCACCTGAGGGGCTGGGCCACCGCAGCGCCCTCTGACCCCAGCCTCCGGCCCAGAGCAATGATACCCACTCCCATGGGGCAGTTGGAGGGTCAAGCCAGGAAGCAGGTGCAGGATGTGTGCTCTGACTGTAGAAGATTCACCCCAAGTCTCCAAGCCCTGCTTCCCGGAAGTGGGCAGGGTGTCGCCTGGTTGTTCTGACTTGGAGTTTCCCCTGGAGAACAGCAAGAACCCCTCCTCTGGGAGGGTGCCACGCCAGCCCTCATCCCTCAGCCAGGTGGTATTTGTCAGAGGGGGTGTGGCTGGGCCTCGAGGTCACAGGAAAAGAAGGTGAGCCAGGCACGGGAGCATTCTCTCCTGCCCTTAGCTCCATTTTGCATCTCCTGGCAAGTGAGCCGAGGGTGTCAGGAGGGGAGCCAGCTCCAGGCAGGAGCTGCTGGGGCTCTGCCCACCATCCCCGCAGGCCCTCACTGCAGGTGAGCGGACAGAGCTGCTCTTCCCCCTCCCCAAACCCCAGCTGTTGCCCCTCAAAAAAGACTGAGAGTCCCAGCGTCACCAAGGCATCAGCCTCCCAGCCCTGGAGGCATCAGGGCCAGTGGGCAACACCACTCCACCGTTCTGGTGAGGACAGAAAGCCACAGGACACCACCCCTGCCCTGAAGGGGGCCCCCACAGGGCTCCCGGGACTCAGGGCTGTTCCCTGCCCTTCTCTGTCCCCTCCCAGACGCAGGTGAAGCTCGCTCTCCAGGCTCAGCTCCCTCCTGAGCATCTGCAAGCCCACACTGACCATTCAGACTTCATTGATTGGCTGAAAGGTGAAACCTGAAATAGCCCCCATTGCTGGTAAACAGGAATTTTAATCATTTGGGCAGCGAATGCTAATCTCTGGTATCGCTGTCTCTCAGGAAGTGTGTGGGGGTGATCCTTCCACACCGCAAGGACAGTGCCAGAATGGCAAGCCGTGGTGGGCAGGGGGACATGGTGTCGCCCAACCCTCTGTGCTGGCAAGCAGGAGCCTGTGGGGACTTCCTCCGGGGAGTCTGGGTCCCTTGGCCAGGGTGCCCAGGGTTTGCTCCTGGCCCTGCTACTTTCTCCCTGTGGCTCCATGAGCAAGTTGCTTGGCCCACTGTGCCTCAGTGTCCTCATATGAAAAGCCACATAACAGCCACAGGTGACCATGCGCCTGGTCGGAGGACTCTTCCCGGAGTGCAGCGTGGGGCTGCGTCTACAGGGGGCGCCATGCCTGAAAGTGGACAACACCCTGCACCAGAGCCTTCGAAGAGATTCTGCTTCTCGAGGTGTTCAGTAGCAAACAGCACAGCCTTCCCTGGGCCAGCTCCACCCTGAGCACTGTCCGCTTGGAGCCTGGAGCATCGGGTCACCTTTCCAGTCCCGCTCTGTGCTGCATGAGTCCTCAGAGATAGGAGGCACCTGCTGCCACGGAGCACACTCATCCACACGTCCCGGCTGCCCACCTGCTGAAGGGGGACCCAGGCTCAGGCTCGCCTCTCCTCCCTGAGGTCTCAGCCGGCCCAGCTACAGCAGGGGAGGAGTGGCCGAGGCCGGGCAGCACATGACCCTGGCAGCCAGCCCAGGGTGAGAACCTGCTTGTGTTTTTAGGGTGCGGGGCCCCGGGCCTTAGAAGGAGACCAGGAAGCAGAGCCCATGGGAGGCCCCTGTAGTCTGAGCAGGGGTGGTATGGAGCAGGCTGGGGTGTGGCGAGGCTGGCACACTGGGAAAGCCTTCACTGCACTCCTGGCCCTGTCCTCGGCCATGTGCCACCACAGCCACTGAGCCTGGGCAGGAGTTCGAACTCCCCAGGTGATTCACAGAGGTGCCAGGACTGGAAATGAGCTCCCGGAAAAGCCCGAGACCCCAAGTGTACCGAGAATGTGGGAGAGGCCGGGACATCCGAAACTCATTAGGTCCTGGCTGACATTTCTCCAAGAAATAATTAATTTTGATATCACAAAGGGCATTTCCCAGCGGCCAAGGTCATTACAGGCCTGGCTGCAGCCTTCTGTCAGCAGCGGGCTCCCATTCAGCCTGGCTGCTTTGACAAATGGGGTTTTAGAGACTTGGCTGCATAATTGAAGCAATGAAGAGGGAGCTAAAGCTGCTTTTCTTGCAGAAATACCTGCCGGTGCCACGTCAGCTGCAAGCTGGCCCCACTGGGGATGCGCGGCCGGGGGACGAGCTTGCAAGTTGCCCAGCTCCGGATTCTGGACCCTGAGGGAGTGGAGGCCACAGGCCACTCAAGGTCACCTTGAAAGCTCCTCGCAGCTCCTCTGTCGGAGCACAGACTTCCCTCAGTCCCCGTGTGAGCACAGTTGGAAGTCAGTGGTGAGTGCAGGAGTCTGTGCTTCTTGGCTGAGGGGACCGCACGGGGCCACCTCAGGAGCTCTTGGTTCTGATGAGACCACACGTGCAGGGGCTCTGACACTGCCTGTCACCGCTGGTGCTGGGCACACAGGCACTAGGCATAGGCGTGACCTGGTGCCACCATGATGAAGGACCCCAGAGTGGTACTCTTGTGTCTGCCTCTCCAGGCCCGAAGTCTGGGCTCAGGATGCCAGCAGAGCTGGTTCCTCCCGAGGACTTCACCACACAGATTCGGGGAGGCACCATTTAGCCCAAGGCACTAGGAGAGAGTGTGCTGCTCTGTCACATGAAAGTTCATTACCACGAAACCCCAAACCAAGATGTCTGTCACAGCTGGCCCCACGGTGTCAACCTCGGAAGCAAGCAAGATGTCCTTCTGCAGATGAGTGGTGCTTTCAGAGAGTGGGATATTATACAGCAATAAAAATAAATTAGTATAAGTCGGAAGTGCACATCTGTAATCCCAGCACTCTGGAGGCTGAGGCAGAAGGGTTATAAGTTCAAGGCCTGCCTAGACTGCATAGCAAAATGCTGCTTCATAAAAACAAAATAGGGCCGGGGATTCAGCTTAGAGGTTCTGCTGCCTGCCTTGCAAGCAAAGTACTGAGTTCAATCCCCGGTACCAAAAACAAAACAAAATAAAACAAAAAGACCTTTAAGAGCCTTAAATGCATATTACTAAGTGAAAGAAGCCAGCCTGAAAGACCGCCTATATGGCATTCTGAAAAAGGCAAAGCCAACGAGGCAATAAAAAAAATTCAGTGGTGGCCAAATGTCAAGAGGGAGCGATGACTGCAGAGCACAGAGGACTCGTGGGGCAATGACAACACTTCGCACAACACTCGTTTGCTGTCCGTTTGTCCAAACCCACAGAATGTGCCCCAGGACCCCGTGGGAACCATGCACTCAGTGACAGCAGTGTGTCAGAGTCTCCTTATGGGCTGTCACATGTGGGCCGCTGCCGTGGGAAGCTGAACTTAGGGGAGGCTGTGTGCCTGGTGGGGCAGGTGTTCCATGGGAAATTTGATACATTCTGCACAATTTTTTGTAAAATTAAAGCTGTTTTTTAAAAATCTATCCTTTTTTAAAGTTCATCAGAAGCATAAAGGAACCCTCTGTATTGTCATTGCAGCTTCTCCGTAAATCAAAAATTCTTCCACATAAACCCACTCTTGTACCATCTTCCTAACATCATGGCCTGCACCTGCTGTCCCGGCCACCTGGCTGTAAGGGATGGGCTGGGGAATCGCTGTGGGGACAGCTGGTGTCCCCTGACGCCCACAGCCTCCCCGGCTCAGCCATGCCTTAATGGGTGTGGAAAGGTGTCCGGTAGTCCTATTTTTCCCTCTTCAGCATCATTTGGCTGATCTGGGACTTTGGTGGCTGTCCCTCCTTTGGGAGCCAGCCTCTCCCTAAGAAGCAATATCCATGGTGACAAGGGTTGTGTCAAGGAGAACTGCTCCAAAGCCCAGAAGAAGAGCAGATGGCACCCACTTAGGGTGGACGTTGATGAGAATCGAGGCTTTGCCCTGTCCTCCTGCCAGGACTTTCCCCATGCTATGACAGGTGGGGAAGGCAGAATGGCAGACATGTGGCATCGGGTAGAATGCCTGGACCTCAGCCCCCTGAAGCCCCCCAGCCCCCCACCCACCTCCTGGCACAAGTGTCTCCCAAGGCTGCTCCAGGTGCTGCTCCATCCGCAGAGACTGGGTCCCCTGCCAAAGCAGCTCCAAATTCAGAGGGAGGGCTTGGGGTACCTGTCACCCCTGGGCCCTTGCTCTCCGTACACAGGACCTGTCTGCTTCCAGGTGGTTCAACAGCACTGGGCCTCGGAAGTTCCCTCTACACAGACACACCCACCAGAAAGTCAGGGCTGCCCGCCCTGCGGAGGAGACCAGCCATCTGCAAGGCTGGCCCTGCCCTGTCTCCTGTTTCTGCAGTGTCTCAAGTGAGAAGCTGCCATGGTGATATTAAGCAAAGAGCATCTTATTGCTAATGGAGATGTCCCTGTCACATCCCAGCGCAATTTTGGTTGGAAGTTGCCAGATGGAAACTTCATTTTTACCCAACATTTCCTGCCCAGTTCAGTGTGTAATTGGCTAACACTTCCCCTTGGCGATTTAGCAGGGAGCACTGCATCTTATAAAAAGAATAAATCTAAATAAAGCCCAGGGAGCAAGGAGACTGCAAACCACTCAATCCTCTGCTTCTTAAAGAAAAACCATCTTCCTTCCAAGCAGAGAAGCCACGTGGAGCCTGGCATGCAGCCCCCTCCTCCCGGGGAGAGACACCAGAGTGACTTCTGACTATGGCCTGGAGGATGTGGGCAGTTGGGCTCCCGGCTCTGGGCAGGACCCTCCCAACACACAGGGAAGTCTAATGCTCATCCTCAAAGTCTTTATGAGAGAACCCGGACAGCGGACAGCGTGGGATACCTTCCCAGTGCACTGAGGCGGGACGGCCTGTGCCTGGGGGCAGGTAAGAGCCCCAGGTGAGAAGAGCAGGCCAGGCCAGCAGAAGGGCCACACCCAGACCCTCCTGCTGTTTGGGATAGGCAGGTATCAACTTGTAAAAACACTTAAAAATAATTTCTAAAATACCTAAGTGAATAACACACTCAATCTAAATGCTTACAAAATAATCTACTGCATGACCAGGAGCCTCTTTGTTTGGCTTATTCTTATTAAGAATATTGGTCCCGTTATAGAAAATCGATGAAAATCCACAGGAGCTAAAAATAAACCTTAGTGACTTAGTTTCTTAAAAGAATATGAAAGTTTTCCTCCATTCCTCTTTCTGAGATCATGCTTTGCTCTGGGCCCCAGACAGCCCCTCTGTAGCCTTGATGGGAATCGGGATAGTGGGCAGAGGGCGGGGAGCAGACCCAGGCGCCCCACCTGTCCCTGGCCCATGCTCTGCGCTCTCTCTGTGTCACTCCAGCAGCATCACCTGGCACCATCACCTGAGCGCTGAGCTCAGCAGAATCACGGTTTCAGACCGTTCTGGCCTGGGATCTAGAAACAGCAGAGGCCACACACCCGTCTCGTGGAGAGGCTGCTCCCCGGATGCCAGCGCTCAGGGCCTTCCCTGCACAGCCCTCTCCCCAGGAGGAAGCTTCAGTACTGCACCCTCACCAGCCCACCTCTGGGTGCTGCTCTCTCCTCCCCTGGACAATCCCTGGACCCGCAGGATGGGTACTGTGGCCTGGCACAGAAGGCTCTTTCTGAAGTTCACCCGCTATAGCCTGCAGGCCCGGCTTGCACTGGGAGGCCACAGGGGTCTACGGCTAGAAGGGGACCTAAGATCGTTTTCGAGGTGGACGCGTGGGGTGTCACTCAGCCACACCTATCCAGGGACCCCGACCTTAACCAGCCTGGGGTGGTGCTGGGAATGGGGCTGAAGGGACCCAGGCTGGGCTCCAGAAACTGCTCCTGAGTCAGGGATCTTTTGAGCCTTCGGATGACACCGGCCACCCTCAGAAGACAGGGCCAACAGGCAGGAGCATCTCCACACCTGTGGCAGAGGGCTCAGCTCCCATTCACATGACCGGGCTGCTTCTATGTCCTGGTGACATCAGCTCGCCACAGCAGCGGCCACTGCCCTGGGGCCTGGCGAGATTCTGGGCAAGGAGGTGATGCTGTTGAAAAACCCAGCCCACCCGTCCTGGTCAATGGATCACCAGACAGGAAGCCCCACATGCGGCCAGTGGCCTCTGTGCTCAGGCTGCAGCCACATGAGGGCCCAGGGGTCCAGCAGTTTTCGTGGGTCACAGTGGCCAGCATGGACCCTGGAAAGCAAGCCCAGCCCGGGGACCCTGTTGGGCCAAGGTGTGGGGAAGGCAGCTGAGGCTGGGGGTCAAAGCCAGCCACTGTGGCCATCATGCTGTCATCACGAATCATCTCTGCCTCCAGAACTGGTGCTTTTGAAAGCAAGGCACCAAGCAGGTGACACAGGGCAGGTCTGGAGGGGCTTCGGCCCCTGACACCGTTACACGAGGTCCTGCAACAACGAGATCCGCACCTTGGGTTGGGCTACGAGGTCACTTTGACTGCACTGGGCAACGGTGTCCTCCCTGGCAACTTCGTTGTCCCCACGGTGCACAGGGTAATGTCCGGAGGGCTCAGCCTATCCTGCCCTGCGCCGGTCACCCCGTGAGCCCACTCCTCCCACCACCCCAGCACTGCATGGCAGGCACAGGCTTCGTTCCCCTCCCACCAGCTTCCTGGCCACTGCATCATCACCTCCCCACGAACACGAGCCGACAGGCAGGACTGGGGTCCTGTGAAGCTGTGGGGCCGAGCACTGGACCAGCCATGGGAACCTCTGGCAGAGGTGCCCAGCACTGACAAGGCAGGGTGGAGCAGGGCTTGGAAGGGTCTGTTTCTGGACTGACCGCTGCTGCCATCCCCGGGCTGGTCTCTTCCCTGTGCCTCCTCATCGATTCTAGCTACTCTGGAGGCTGAGGCAGGAGTACTGCAATTGCAGGTCCAGCCTAGGAAACCGAAAGTGACCTTGTTTCAAAACGAAACAAGAGGCCTGGAATGTAGCTGGCCTCCATTCAGTACTAGAGTGCTGGCCTAGCACGCATGAGACCGTAGGTTCATTCCCCAGTACCCTCCCTGACAAAAGAATATGTTAAGGCAGGCACAGGTCCAGGGTCCAGCTCACAGGCCTGCCTGCTCCTGGATCGCAATGTCCCCTTTGACAGCTGGGTGGACAGCTGCCCTGGCCGGCTTCCCTGTACCCACAGGGTACCCATGTCCTGCAGGCCTGAGAAGACCTTGCTTGCCAGGGTCCAGGGGGCCTGGGACAAAACCAACTGCTCCTTCCCGGTAAGGGTGTGGGGGAGGGGGCACCGACTGCAGGGCCTGGGGCACAGCTGTGAGGCAGGGACAAATGGTTCTGGGGTGAAGCACAGGGGTCTGCACTGCACAGTAAGCGGGTACGGGGCAAGGGGAGGAGCAGAAGGGGGAGGAGAAGGGAGCGAGGAGAGAGGATGGCCTGCGGTGGGAGCTGAGGGGACGCACAAAGCTGGACCGCTGCGGCCCTGAGCTCGGGGCTGTGTGTCACCCTACGAGGGGCGACAGGGCTTAGTGCTGGGCCACTCCGGGCTCTCAGGGAGGGGACGGGCTGGAGGAGGCCAGCCTGGGGAGGACACCACAGTCCGGGCCTGAGACTCAGCCCCCCATGTCAAGGTGTGCACCCCAGCAGCTCCCGCAGTCCGGTCTGCAGGTCTCTGAGGACCCTGCGGTGCCGGCACCAGCATGACCGAGAAGGGCGGGCTCAGTGCCCCATCCCGCACGAGTCCATCTCCACCTGCAGAAACAGCCTGCAGCCACTGCTTCCTGGAAACCCCTCCTCCTGGGCTGCTGAGCTGCTGCCTGGCCTGGACCAGCTGTCCTGGTCACCAGCCCCATGGGCAGATCAGAAAACTGGGCCTGCCCCTGTGCCAGAGGCCCTGCCGGCACAGCCTCGCAGAGCGCCACCAAGCCCAGCTCGGCGCTCCTACTCACTCACTCCTTCAGCATCCAGTTCACTGGTTCTCACCACAGGCCCAGCCTGGGACCCGGTCTGACAGGCCAC